ACTTCTTCTTTTCTCCTCCATTGTTTGTGCCTCCCTTGTCTGTTTCTCGGACCTTTCTCCTCCCTCACTTCCTTTGAGGCGGCCATCTCTCCACAGTCTCGTAATGGTTTTGCTTTTCTTGTCTAAATAAGACCCTCCTACTGGTCCCACCTTGGTGTGCCCCCTGACTGTTCCTGCGTATGACCCTTTCATTTGTAATTTTGTCATTTCTTGTCTCTGGAGGGCCAAAACCTCTAATTGGTTCCAGACTTTGCTTTGGTGCCCAGTTACCTCTAATTGGTTCAGGTACAGTGCGGGAGTAGAAGCACAATATAGTTGTGCATATTTAGACCAAGAACCTGCAACAGCTTGTCTACTTCCCGGGACGAAGCATCATCGGAGGTCCAGCACCTCCGTCCTATGGTTGTCATCTTGTCCAGGAATATTTCTTTATCTTCTTTAACAATTCTTTTATATTCTGTTTACTTGCCCATTCCCCCACATCATCTCGATATCCTCTGGAATTTGCTTCAATGAGTACCCAGGCCTTGGCATCCTCTCCAGACATAGCTTCCTCTCCAGACATGAGGTAGCTTAAGAAACCACGGCATGGCATTGGTCATCACACGAGAAGGCAGCCAAGCATTGACCACATTTTTTCGCTCATTTCCCTCTCGTTTCTGTCATTGAAGACACTATCTCTTCTGCTTTCGGGATACCTATGTGGATCCACCTCCCTAATAAGCCGGCTTCGAGAATGTTTGGCACAAGTACTAGCATACGGACGTTACAACAACCGTGCAACGAAAGGGCAAATCAAGAAGTCAACCACCAACTTTTCTGTTTTCTGAAGATCGGTATGAAAATTACTATCAAACTGAGCAGAACAGATACTTCACTTGACCTTAGCTATAAGGCTGCACAACAAGAGGGCAAATCAGGCAGTCGTCAAAATTACTATCAAACTGACCAGAAAAGATACTTCACTTTGCCGTAAGGCCCCTAATTTTCTGATGAAGTTGTTTCACCCGCCCATGGATGGTTATGGCGTACAGCAGACCTTGTACGAATGTGCAAATTGACAGAACATGACATTATCCTACATAGTAAATAGTGTCTTTGGCTCTCCTATAACACATGCACACCTGCTGGACGGAGCAAAAGATTGTGCCCTCGTACATCCCATTGCTTCCTTCTGCCAATCAATCTCTTGGGCAGTGTACAATGGCAGGATTCCAGTTAATGACAATCTGCCAATCTGGTTTATTGTTGTTCGACGTCGCAGAAACAGCACAATCCCACTAATCATGAACAAGAGGGTATAAAATTTTTCTAGAGCACAAAGGTTCTATTTGCGAACATGAGAGGTCGACAAGGAAGAGTAAGGTGACATTAACTTCAATTTGACTTACCGACATCAGTGTATATACCAAGGCCATAGTTGACAAGCCCCCAAGAGTGCTACTGTTGTCCTGTCCACATGGTATCTGATTCACACTAATCCCTATCAACAGCAGGCATAACGCCTCCCACTGCCCCCCAACCCTTCCCCATACAGCCCCTCTCCATAATCAGCACACCACCAGAACCAAGAGCAACACCCCAAACATGGAAGCAATCAAAGACACGGCAATCCAACACACACCAAACCAGAGTACACACAGTCAGGCCCATACAAGGGATTAAAATAGGAGTTGATAAAGCATAGTATCTGTTAGCTGTTTTTTTCATCTAGTTTCAAAGTGAGTAAAAGTTCTGTGATGGCTGCTCCTGATGTACTACCCATCTCTACACGACCACTTTCTGGTATTTCACTGCATTGCTTAGCAATGTTCCCTGGCAGCAGGGTTCCCCACTTCTGTCCCTGGCAGCAGGTTTCCCCACTTCTGACCTTTGTAATCTATACCGAGTAAGAGGTGAAAAATCCCTGTAAGTGGAACCTCACCCCTTCTCTGTCAATGCTACTATGCTATCTGTGCTAGCTGCAGAAAACCATCTGCTGCATAGTACACACTCGCAGCTACTGATCAACAGGTTGAAGTTTGGAGTTCTAATCCCGTCTGCTCATGCAGTACCATTGATCGTTAATTTGGTTGTGGTCATGCTTGTGTCAGTTCCAGATGCCCACACACCCATTCGCCATTACAGAACACTTGGACACTTATTCACTGATAGAAGACTTGAGCCACCAGCACCCTAGTGAGTGTGTTCCCAAAACTACCTGCGACAATTTCCAAGCCTTTGGAAAAACGCAGAAGCAGCCACAAAATGTAGAACTGACATTGGTTTTGATTCAATCTGGCGTTTTTTCTCTTGCCTTTTTGTTTCGTTCTGTCACTTTTTTCTTTGGTTTTGCCTTTTCGTTTTTCTTTTCTTACCTTGCCTTTGTGTTTTCGTGTTGTCACCTTGCCGTTTTTGCTCGATTAGTCCCGACCCCAATTTTCAAAACGAGCCCTGCCCAAGCCTGTATTACCCCTTGGCTGACCCTGCTTCAAGTCGTCCTCAGTTCAGGAGGTTTTCTTCGCTTTCTTTACTTTGGCTTTCTTTGGGGTACCCCTTTTATTTCTTCTTGCAGCTCCCCTTTTGCTGTGCCTCTAACGCACAAGGCTTGCTTTGTGGAGGGCTGATGCCGCCTGTATTCAGAATTGGTGTTTGGGAGTGGGTGGGCCCCACTCCACGTAGCTGTGTGTAGCGCTGATGCTACCTGTGCACAGAATTAGCATTCGGCAGTGGATGAGCGATTGCCCAGGACACCACGTGGCTAAACCAGTTTGTAAGCCGGGTGACATGGGTGGGTAGTCGAGGCTGCCAGTTACACAAATATGCAGTCCAACCTCTGGCCAAGACACCAGGAGGATGGCCCCTTACAAGCATACGTCATGTCAGGTAGGTCACTGCAGCTTTGAAGTCCGTGGTATTGTTACAGATATGTTCAAACCTCGCCAGTTGTCCCGTGAGCACACCTGCGAGCTGATCAGCTGGGGCATTGGAGGAAGCACTAAAACAACGAATGTCAGGGAATGTCCAAGCCACAGCCTTATCAAACACACGAATACAAAGTGAGCTCTGGCCGAACCAAGATTCTTGCCCCGAGGACGAGACATGACCCATCTCGCTCAGTGGTGTCTTTCAATCACGACCATACCGAGCGGGAGGGGGCGGAGAAGTCTTCCGAGATAGGATGCCATCAACGAACGACATGTGAATGCATATGTTTGCGCTGCGAGGATATCTCATTGACGAAGTTCGTCAATGAGCTGTGCTTCGTCCCAGTAGAGTGTAAGATAGGCAATTTCAGGTCTGGCGTTAGTGGCCATAGCAATACCTAGCACCTGATGGGGAAGTGCTAGAGACAACAAACCACAGATGCTGTTGTATTTGTGACACTGAAAGGGCGTCAGAGCCATGAAGTAACTCACTCCCCACAATGAGGACCTCCTACAGTCATGCACATTTGTACCGGCCTTCTGCCCTACGAAATCAGCACCAAGGCATAATCATGTGCTTCACGAACTGCATTTAGCACATTGTTAAGAATCCTGTCATGTGGTAGGTTGACATACATTGTTGTAAAATCCGCTGTGCGTGGCGTAGAGCCTTGAAGGAGATGTGCATTCCGCTTGAGATTCAAAATGACGTCCTCAGCGCTTTGCACGATCCAAGAACTTCATTCGCCACTTTCTTGATAAAGTTCATTGTCCTTACTGCACAGAGACCTGATCATTCCTTGGAGATCATAGCTGAGTGAGGAAGAGGCCACTGTTGTGCTTGCAAGAGGCCTATGAGGGGGTCTGTTATGCTGGTCCGAGACTGAAGGTTGGCGAGTCGTTGAGCGAGGTGCAGATTCGGAAAGGTTGTTTCGCTGAATGACTCCAAGGCTTGGACGAAGAGTGGGTAGAGATTTTGTGTGCTTAAACCACCACTCCCCCCAACGTCAAAAAACTTGGGAGACCGGTAGCGCCATTTCACGACGGGTACCGGTAGCATAGAGTGAAAAACCGGGTGAGTGGCAAAAATGGAATTTGCATCAAAAAATGGAAATGTGCCGAATCGGCGCGGTGATTATTTCACGGTCAAAATTATTTTATTTTTTTCCTGATATTTTTCCTTGGAAAATCACAACCTAATCTGCGGACCCTCAAATTTTCAGAATTTAAGAAGAATTCTTCTGAGCACGAAACTGTGGTTGAGTGAGAGAGAGAGAGGGAACCAACAAGGGAGCCTGGAACCAAATCACTAGTCCATACCAAGTGCACAGAGTATACCTGCAAAACAGAGAACCGTCTCTTCATGATGACCTTAAGAAGTAGAGCAATGGACAGAACCTGCACATTTCAGAATATATGAACGAGTTCAAGACACCAGAGCACAGCATGGATACAAACACAGTAATAGAAATGCAAATATTTTATCTCTGGAAAGCAATAGAGTACCCTCTCTCGATCTCCTCATCTTTTTTGCCGTCTTATTTTTGGTCAAGGTCTGTGTGTGCCAAGTTTGGTGTTTGTTGGGGTCTTGGAGTTCACTGTTTTGGCCAGCTCTGAAAATTTCTGAAAATCCTGAAAACTGAAAAGAGTGAATTTTGGACGAAAACGCACTTTTGCCTTGGGGTTTAAGGCCCCTTTGATCTTTTTTTTTTTTTGTGTGTTTTGCTGTTGGTTTATTTGCTGTCCACTCTATGTGACTGGTGACAAGTCTGGCGTAAAAGGTATGGAACGTTTGTTATAATGACCCTGAAAAAATCCTGAAAATTTAGGAATCTGTTAACCTCTTCTCTTCCACGGACAATTTTTCTCATCTGCAACAACCAGACCCCTGAGTTGCCAAGATGGCCTCAAAATCCAGCCTCGAAGATCACAGATGCACCATCTATCTAGAATCCTGATCTATTGCTCTCTCTTTAATTTCACCAATCCTATAGCACTGCAACACGGAACAGACAGAGTACATAATTCCATGGACAACTTTTCTCATCTGCAACAAGATGCACGACGACTCGAACACACAACTCACAGCTCGGCAGGTAATCACCTAACCATAAGGCAACAAGATGGCACTCAGCCTGACTCAGGTATGTTATGGATGAGCTTCACTCCTTTGCCGTTCTTGAAGACTCTTCTTCTTTGTTTGCTTTGAGCCCACTGTTCCATGCACCCAACACATCTCCCCAACACCTCTCTTCTTTAATCAGTCTGCACCTCATTTTGTTATGGAGGTATGGAGAATGCATCTCCTCAATCCAAAGCCCGTCCACAGCCTCCAGAGTGACCCTATGCAATCTGAACATAGACCCCCTCTGCATGGTGACGAAAAGCTAGGTAACACACCCCAAATCAGATGATTGGACGAGAACTGTGTGACACGCCCCAAATTGACCCTGGAGAGCTCGGTGCCACACCCCAAATTGGCCCTTGGGAACTGGATACCACACCCAAAATTAACCGTGCGAAATTAAACGCCACACCCCATTGCAGTGATTGCACCACCCGAAACATCGGTCATGGACATATGCGTCTTGGCAAACAGGAACTCCGTTCTGGTTTGCCAGCGCCCCAAATTCCGAGGCCATGCACAAAAACTTTGCAAATCACCCACAGCTTAGCTTAGAAGAGGAGAGGGATGACTGGCAACAAAAAGAAACCCTTTGTGTATCATGCAATCACCATGCCACCTACACGGGAAGGTTACAGGAAATCCCATGTGTCATTGATGAGAACTCCAGCCAGGCATGTTGCACAGAGAGCATATGAGTCAACGGGAGGGAAGAAATCATACCTTCAAATTGCTTAGCATCTTAACAGTCACTGGCTTGAAATAAAGCTGCAGCAAATGACAGCACACATACGGAGAGAGACAACTCTGTCAGAGACCAGGATTCCAGAAACCATGGAGTTTGTGTAGTCATTTTTTCTTTCAGCCCATGGCTTCAACACAGCAACTGTAGAAAAAATGGGCAGTTGAGTGTTTCTCTTTCTCTACTTTCATCCCCTGGGTCTGACTGGCAAAATCTCTCCCAATTTGAACCCAGATTTCTTGAAAGGGAGAGGCGTCAACTATTAGAACCATCAAAATCGTTCCTGCTTTTAGAGAATAAGGTTCAAAAGCCAGCGTGGGGTCATTGTCAGCCCCTGAGAAATTCATTCATCTCCTCTCTCCCACTGAGTGCTTTTCTTTCTACTCAAACTCCATGAATCTGACCACTAAAATCTCTCCCATTTTGAAACCAGATTTTGTCACAGCGAGAGACATCCATTCGAATTTATAACCATCAAAATTGTTCCTGCTTTCCCACTCTGCCTTCCTGGAAATAAATGAATTAGAGCATACTCACACTAGGCCCTCAAACTCGCAAAATCACAAAATCGCAAAATGAGCGGCCAGATCGAGTCCTTGTAAAGGAAGGACTAGATCTGGCAGCTCATTTTGGAATTTTGTGATTTTGAGGGCCTAGTGTGAGTATGCCCTTAAACCACCAGTACACGGCCTCAGCCTTGCAGCAAAATAACTTGTCGCGACAAGAAGGAAAAGGCGGGCGCATTCCTTTGGGACATCCGTTAAAATTGGAATAATACAGAGAAGATTAGCATGGCCCGTGAGTATGCCCTCAGCGAGGCCGTTTGAGCAAGAGAAATATGCGCTGCCTCGCTGGCAGGGCAAGGAAGAAAAAAACAAAAGGTGAAAAAACAAAAAAACAGCAACGTTTCCCTGTCCCTGTAATAGTGGTCAGATGCATTCTGGAAAGTGATCCTTTGAGTTAGCCTCCATGACGTCCTTCCACGACATCATTGACCTCTGGCATGCTTGTTCCTTTCTTTTCTTTTTCCCTTCAGGTAGACCGCCAGCACCGGTGCCATTTCTGAAATTCCCACTACAGGTACCCTCACGGACAAGGCTCAGAAAATACCGGCGCACAGTGGGCAGGTAGCTCCGGGCTTTTAGGTGCGGATGTACTGGTGGTTTAACAAGAAGCCCCCCTTGCTTTGCAATCAGACAGCCCCAAGGAACGGACAATGCCTGCATGAATCTTAAGCACGCCACTGCCTACATAACAGGTCTTCTCTAGCCCAAAACATCTGAGGCAATGTAAAATTGTACCCACTTGGCGCTCTTTTGTTGCACAGGTCAAGGGACGAGCTGCTGCTGTGGGCACTATGGAGACTCTGAAGACTGCTAGGACCCCCAAAGCATCCACAGTCCCAACACAGCAAGCAACTCGGCCCCCTCCTGAAAGGTTTAGGTCACATACATTTCCAACAAAAGGGCGCCACATGGGCAGTGATGGACAACAGACCAAAACAGATGCAATCATAGCCCAGGAGGTGGTGTCCATCTCTGATGGGTCTGAGGTCAGTGTTTTGGTGTTCAGCTGGACATCAGGGCAGGACCTACCAACCAAGCAGTGTTATCCTGAGTATGCCCAGAAGGCAGAGCGCTTGCACATCTTTTCAGTCAGCGCTTCATGTGGGGGACTTTCCAGAGTAGAATAGGAAATTACAGTTGCCCAGCTCCGTTAGTAACTGAAGGACAGAGAAAGAGTGCAACACAATAGCCTGAACTCAGTGGCAGAGGAGAGGAGGAGAGGAGGAGAGGAGGAGAGGAGTGTCTTGTGGGAAAGAAGTGGCATAGAACAAGATACTCTTTGGTTATCTGCAGGTGGAGAAGAGTGATGTGGCACTTCTAGATGTTGGCATTGAGGCTGCTGAGTCACTGGCCACCCCCCAAGACAGCAACTTTAAGTGACAACAGCCCTTCTGCAGCAGACAGAGTACCACATGGCTGCAGACATATCCAAAGTACGAGTAGAGTAGCATTACTGTAGTTTCAGGTTAACGGGATGGGGGAGGAGGAGAGGGGGAGGGAAGGTGACACACATACAGAGAGACAGAGACAGAGACAGAGACAGAGACAGAGACAGAGACAGAGACAGAGACAGAGACAGAGACAGAGACAGCGACAGAGGCAGAGAGCAGAGACAGAGGCAGAGAGAGACAGAGAGAGACAGAGAGAGACAGAGAGACAGAAAGACAGACGGAGAGAAAGACAGACAGAGAGACAGAGAGACAGAGAGTCAGAGAGACAGAGCGGGGATTGAACTTGTGTATTACCTAATCGTAAATTGAGGAATTCTTAGATACTAATTTTCATTCTTCCTGTTTCCTCTCGATCTCTCTGCGCCCAAATGGATTTTTGCCTTCCATTTTGAGGTCAATGTTTACAGACTCACAGTTGAATTTGGGTTGTAAACCGTAATCAAACATGCACTGCCTGCATATGCTTTCCTTCAATGACTTTCAATGCACTGATTGGCATTGCTAGGCTGATAGCAACAAACACTTTCGAACATGGTAATGAGCGAATGGGAAACCATCAAAAGACTTTCGATCAGACGGACCAAATTCATTACCTGCATCGTAAACTTCAAATAATTGTTGATTGCATACAAAAATGATGGTACAACCAACAGGATGTTGGCCTTCATAGCCTGCAAAACGCTCAAATCAATACGAGCAGGAGGAATTAGGGGGTCCAGCAGTGATTTCCAAACTACCTTCAACATGCATGCACAATGGCCTTTTTTCATGGGAATCCTCGACTGCACGCATTCTAAGCTGCCCCTTCTGGATGCAGTTGAGCAGCCCCATCAATCAACAAAAGAGTCATTCTCAATCTTCATCTCCGAGCGGTTGAAAAAAAAAAAAAAAAAAAAAAAAAAAAAAAGAGAATCCCAAATCAATAAACAATCAACCTGTGTAGCACACCGAACATGTTTGGCGCCCCGCCGAGCAGCCGAACATGTTCGGACGCTCGACCAAGCGCAAATTAGGGGGCTGCCGAGTGCGTCCTCATGTGTGTGTGGTGTGGGGGCTGTGTGTGGGATGTGTGTAGTGTGTGTGTGTGTGTGTGTGGTGTGTGTGCGTGTGTGTGTGTTTGTGTGTGTGTGTGTGTATGTTTAGGAGTGATCAGCAATGGCCCCCAGGGCCTCCCAACCCCTATATATTGTCACACTGTGAATCGGAGCGCAAAGGCGGAAAAAAGCAAAACAAGGAAAGGAAAAAAGGAAGGAAGGAAAGCCCCACCTGTTCATCMCCTCTTACGTACAAGGCCAGCCACGTGGATGACAGGTTGAGCGTTGGCTGCCCCCATCCCCGTGTGTCRCAAGGACCCACTTGCACGCAGCCAAAAGGCAAAGAGGTAAAGAAAAGGAGGAGGAAACCAAACCTCACAGAGGCAAGAAAAAGAGAAAGGGATCCAGTGAAAGAAAGGACAAGGGCCTTTTGGCTAAGATCAAGTGTAGTATCAGTTTTGATCAGTTTAATATCTGATCTGTGGTCCATCAGGCCACACGATATTAAATTAATTTTTCAGGGCTACGGAGGGGTCATAGGGGTAGGCTTGCCTACTCGACCCTTCCAGCGTTGCCTCCGTATTGCACTGCAGCGGAGCGTGGCGCGGCCCATTTGAAAAAAAAAAAAAAAAAAAGTCATATTAGCCAAGCAAAGCAATTGACACATCCCTCAGATAAACCAACTGCCACTGTCACAACAAAGTTCAACATATTTTATATTTTTCATTATTTTCTTTTTTCTTTTTTTCTTCTTTTCTGAAATTCCTTCTTTTTTTCTTTTTTTCTGAAATTCCTTCTTTTTTTCTTTTTTTCTGAAATTCCTTCTTTTTTTCTTTTTTTCTTTTCATTTTTCCAAGTATCGAAAGCTTTATATGTCCTATAATCAGTGTTGCTCCCAACCTGCTTGATTCTATTGAGACCAGTTAGGAAGAGGACCCCCCACCCCGGCAGATAGGACAGGCACGCTGAGGGTGGCGTGGATGTTCACAAGGATACCCAAGGAGAGCTGCGCCAGCACAGCATTCAGCAGGACGGCTAGCACGGACCATGCCATCAACGCAGTCCTGACAAAGGACATGCTGTCCACATGTCAAAAAAACAGCAGGACGTTCATCACAGTGCGGCATCATGCAGTTCTGATAGCGTCCTTGCTCACAAAAGGAACAACGAATGTCTGGGTGATAGGGATGTGTACAATGAGGGAATGTTGGACGGCGGCGGCTGCAATAGTTTGATAATGGTGATGGCATAGATGATGAATGCCACAACCAAGACGCACCGCGTCTCTGCCCCGACAGGTGTCACACGAGAGTCGGTCAATAATCCAGAATAAAGTATGATTCGGCAATGCACCCAAAAACTCGCTTACGTTGGAAATAGCCTGAATCATTGTCCCACCATCCCACAGTTCCCACTGGGCAGCTGCACGAATGAGTGCCATTTGTGTACAATACAGGCAGAAATATGAGGGTGGTCATTGAGGTCATTGCCTGGCGTCGCATGATGCATAAGAAGGTGGCAACCATGGAAAGCTAACTGTAAGACATTTACAGAAAAGCCTCCTGAGGTAGTATAATTACTACCTTCAGGAGGTGGACCATTATGGTCATACAACAACTGATTTTCAACAGCGTCAAGCTGATAAGCAATCGTAACAAACTGTGACGCAGTATAACATTGACGCTGATAAACCTGTAGGCAGACATTTGTGGCTGTCAAACCACAAGAATTTGGTAGGTCTGCCCGCAGATCCGAATCGGTCACCACTGGAAAGCCAGCTGTGATCTGGCGGGGTCGGCGCGTAAAAGATGAACGCCGCCGACGTGGCAGAGCAGATTGTCGGTAAGACAAAGAACCCCGCAAATTAGCATCAACACGACGTCGAGAGGAAGGGGGACTAGGAGGAGGAGAGAATGAACGAGCCTGCCGACGTCCCAATATGGACAATGAAGACAAAGGAGGGGCTGGTCGTAGCCGGCGTGGGGAAGAAGAAGAAGACAAACTAGAGGGGACAAATGAGGAAGAAGAAAAAAAAGAGGTCGAAGAAGAAGAAGAAGAAGGAGGAGGAGGAGGAGGAGGAGGAGATGACAAAGTGGAAGGAGAGGGGAAGGGAGGGGGAGAAGGAGAGGAAGGCAGAGGGGAAGGGAAGGGGAAGGAGGAGGGGGAAGCGGAGAAGAGGAGGGGGAAGAGAGAGGAGGGGAAGACGGACCGGGAGGGGGAGGGGGAGGGGGAGGAGGATAAGAAGATGGAAAAGAGGAAGGG